TCGTCGTCATCATCTTCCCCGACGTAAGACACTGGAGTCTCCACCCTGGAGCCGCTGTACTGAGAACCATTGGAGCTCGTGGCCAGCATCCCATCAGCCCCGTTGGTCAAGTCACTGGAAGAAGAAGCATCAGTCAGAAGAGGGCCATAGCCCAAGTCCTGTATCAGTGCAAGGCCTTACCTAAAAGCCTAAACTTGAAGGTTTATGATTTCAGGTTTGGGTATTTCTTCTCTTCAATTATATACACAGATATGAAAAAAAAATTTAATATATACAACACAGAGCCTCCATACTTATTACTACTCGCTTTCTTCTTCTTCCCTCCTTTTCCTCTCTAGTCCTTTTCTTAAACATCTAACAACTCAAAGGACAGTAATGTTAATGAGGTCACAATAATTTTGTCTTTTCCTGCGTCCCAATTATGATCATTGTATCAGAAAGAATATGTGAAAGAGCATAAGACTGGAAAGACATGAATACTTCTTTGTAAGCAGATCTTTTGCTTATATGTTCTTTATTTTCTGAGGGGGTAACAGGATGGCTGGCTGGCTTGCAGGTGGGCATGCTAAAATCAATGCTTCCCAGACAGTAGGGTTTGGAAACCAGGGTCCTTCTTACATGTGTGCTTAAGTCTCAGTTCCCAGGACCTACCCTCAACATTTTTTGGGGATAATCTGGTGCAGAGAAAAATCCACAGTCCTTGTGGTCGAGTCAGTTATATGCTGAGCTGTTAACTAAAAGGTTAATGGTTTGAATCCACCAGATGCTCTGTGGGAGAAAGATGAGGCAGTCTGTTCCCATTAAGATATGCTGCTTAGATACACAGGTTGGATTTATGGCAGACTTGTCCCCATGGGTCTCTCGCAGTGTTCCATGACAGATTCAACCATTGCCCCGCCTCCTTGCTCATCGGCTGCAGGCACTGAAGCAGGTTGTATGGAGGGCTGGGGTTAAATGTGCTGCTTTAGAAAAGCAAAAGAGGGTTGTCATGAATCATGAATTGGAATCAACTCAACTGCAGTGGGTTTGGGTTTGGTTTTCTGGATAGGACACTCAAATAGACTGACAGCCAAGAAGAGATGCTAAGGTATCTACCTACAAGAAAGGTCTCAAACATAATCCTACCACATATTCTCTCCAACTCCAACTTGTGTACCTTTAACCATTTTCCAGAAAAGAAATGAGACTGTTTTTAAAACAACTACTCTCTTCTAAAGAATCTGGTACAAAAGGGTCAGAACTATAATGAAACAGATGGGAGTTTTGCCCAACATGACCAAGAGTAAAAGGCAACTTGTTACCAAAATGTTTTTATGCAATATAGTATTACTTATTATATACATAATCCTTCAATAACAGTGATAACAATGTTCTGTGAGTGGATACAGGTTTGGCAGAAGATATTTCTGCATACTTGTACTAAAGTTATATCCAGGTTTATGGTATTCAAGAACAAAGATATGCAAACTTGCTTTTGGAGGAGTTGTTGTGTATAAATCAAACATCCTGAAGGACTCACTCAATGGGTGTGAAGGCTCAAGAGACTATAGTCTTGAGGAACATCTAGTTTAATTGGTACAAAGACAGTGTTCTACACATCCTACTTTGGTAAGTAAAGATCAGAGTCTGTGAGCGGCCATGTAAAACACAACTACTGGCCTCTTCCTGTCAGGTACAAAGAGTGAAGAAAATAAAAGTCTAAGAAAATACACAGTCCACAGAGCTGACTGGTCACAACCAGAACATGTGCCTCAGCCCAGAAGAACCAGATGCAGCCTGGCTACCACCACAAACCATTATGACTGGGGATTACAACAGAGATAGACTGAGAGAAAAACATAGAACAAAACTAAAATTCCTAAAACAGACTAGACTTTTTGGTTTGACAGAGACCGGTGTAAGCCCCAAGGGCATGGCCTTGAGCTATCCTTCAAAACTGGAAAGGCACCCACTCCCAGAGAGCACCTGTGATCAGAACAACAGTCAGGCCTGTGAAATGAACAGCAATATCCATGAGAAACGTGATTATCAGATCAACTACAGAAGACCAAGAAGGGCAGCCATTGCTCAAAAATAAAGTGCAGAAGGCAGGAATGGGCAGGAAAAGATGGGCCAATGGAAACAGGGAACCCCAGAGAGGATGTGGGAGCGCTATTACATTGAGGGGATTGCAACCAATGTCATGAAATAAAGTATCTATCAAGTGTCAAATGAGAAATGAATTTGCTCTGTTAACATTCACCCCAATCATGATAAAATGTTTTATTTTTTAAAAAAGGTGGGTTTTGAAGGGTACGAAATGATTAAGCAAACAGAGTTTCTTTAATTATGCAATACACCTCAATAATCCTACAAAAGTTTGGCATACACAGGCCACAAATGAACAATGAATTCCAAAGTAAAAAACACTAACATAAAGCCATATGCATAGATTTTCAAATTCTATCTTGCCATTAATTAATGCAGTATTATAAACTATTAAATATTATATCTTTCGTAATTCAAATTCTGGGAAATCTAGACTATTAAAACAAAACAAAAACCCTCAAAGCTACTTATTGCTTCTTTTCTTAAATTTGGAAACCACCAAAATGTCCAACACAAATGAGAACATGTAAATAAATTATTGCGCCTTCATAACATTTAAACTGGTTTTTCTCTGAACTGATAGTAGCTTTATTGTGTTTCTCATAAAAAAACAGGCATATTCAAAACAACTATGAAATATCATCTCACTCCAGTAAGAAGAGCAAAAAAAACAGAACAGCAGCTGGCAAGGTTGTGGAAAAACTGGAACACTTATTCACGGCTGGTGAGAGTGTAAAATGGTGCAACCACTATGGAAGGCTGGATGGTGCTTTCTAAAAAAGTTGCAAATAGAAATACCATTTGACCCAGCAATTCCACTACGGGAAATATACCTTAAAGAAACCGAAAGAAACTGTAACTGCCAGTCAAGAAGATATATGCACATCCATGTTTATTGTGGCTTTGTTTGCAATAGCAAAGAGCTGGAAACAACCCAAGTGCCCATTAACAAATGAATGGATAGAGCAGCTCTGGTATATTCACATAATGGAATACTATGCAGCATTAAAAAACAAGGAACTCATGAAATATTATGCAAAATGGATGACCCTGGAGGACATTATGCTTGGTAAAATACCTCAGTCACAAAAGGACAAATATTGCATAGGGCCACTGTTGTAAAACGAGACTGACATTAAGGTTGAGGGAAGACAGAAAAGGAGGGGAAGAACGATTTATATTGCACTGAAAGAGATGAAAGATCTGTTTAAAAGAGATATATGAATGGGTATTCTTGTCATTACAGAAGTCTAGCGTGAAGGCTGCATAATGGAGTGAACTTGGGGGGAGGGATTCATAAAAATGAGTTTCTTTTTCTTTTCAAGGAGGAGAGTGATTTGGGGGAGGGGGTGGGCAGGGGGGAAAGTGCAACAATGAATGACTGGAAATCCTAAGTCTCTGTTAACTTTCATTAAAATTAATAAATAAAACAAAACAAAAACAGGCACATGATGATGTTAAAGCACTTAATAAATAAAACCACATTAATTCGAGAGCTGGATTTTATGAAAAAGAATGTGGCATCAAGATCAGAGTAAGACTCAGCAACAATCTATGTTATGCAGATGACACAACCTTGCTAGCTCAAAGACTACATATAGCCTTCACTATGGACTATATCTCAATATCAAGAAAACAAAAATTCTTACCACCAATCAATAGGCAGCATCATGAAAGACATGTTGTGTTGGGAAAATCTGCTGTCAAGCACCTCTCCAAGAGTACTGAAGAGCAAGGAATGCTAAAGGGCAAAGTGCACCTGATCCAAGCCATGGTTTTCTCTACTGCAAGCTACATGATATATGCATCTGAAAGCTGGACCATGGCTAAGGATGACAGAAGACTAGTCTTTTGAGTTGTAGTTTTAGAGAAGTTGTGGTGTTGTAATTTCCAATAGATTTCTAGAACAAACAGGTCTGTCTTGGAGAAAGTTAAACCAGTTGCTCCCTGGAGGCAAGGATGGTGAAACTCCGCCTCACAGACTTGGGGTATGTTGTTAGGAGAGACCAGTTCTTGGAAACAGACACCATGCTTGTAAAGGAAGATCCTCAACACTATGCATTAATATAGTGACTTTAACAATGGGCTCATGAGTATCAGAGATGGTCAAGATGGCACAAGATAAGGAAGAGTTAGGAGCCATTGTTCACACAGCTGGTATGCGTCATAGGTGACTCAACAAAATATATAGGAACAATAACATAGAAATGTGTTTTTTTTTAAAAATCCAAATTCCATCTCAGAATGTTCAGATAATAACCAGATTACATTTTACACACTAATGTACATAAGTACACATATACAGCAAGAGATTTATAATTACAGAAAAAGTACTGATACTCATCCAAAGTGTATCATATTATAAGCAAGTCAGTGTAGAAAGCGCTTTACTTATCATTTCATTAATCCTTGCAACCAATCAGTGAAGTGTTGGTTTTGCTTTTGGATGAGGAATTTATAGCCTGAAGACTCTGGGTTTCCAAAGTCAGAAAGTGACTCTAAAACCAGCATGTTCATCACCCTGTGTTGAGCTGTCTGCACTTACTTGTGTATGACCCATTACTTCACCTGCTTTATTAACTTGGTAACATATGTTATGGCCGTTATGTCAAACATATATCCAAAACATCATTTTTAATAGTTGCAGAATATTCTACTTTAGATATGCTATTGTTAAATGCCATCGAGTCAGAAATGGTTAAGAACTGACCCGCCAGTGGGTTTTCAGAGGTTGCAAATTGCACAGGAAGAGAATGCCCATCTGTCTTCAGAGAATAGTGAATTTGAACTGCCTGTGCCTTTGGTTGGCAGCACAACTCCTTACCTACTAGGGTATCAGGGCTCACTAAGATACATACATATATACATACATACATATGTGTGTGTGTATATATATCTATCTCTCTTACAATTTAGGCTTATAGACGCTTCCAAACTTACCTTACATTTTAAGAAATTTAACAATTCATTAATATTCAAAATCAAGTTAAAGTAACATGTGTTATACAATTTAATACAAAGAGTAGGATTATATTTCTTGATTATTATTTTTTTAATTTACACAGATTTTTAAAATATATTTATTATCATAACATTTCTATTACCATATAGAATTGTTATCACATTATATATGTGCCTCTAGATGTTTTTGTTCATTGTTGCTCATTTCCCCCTTCCCTAGCCCACACTGCAATGTATTATCATACATATAATGCCTAATCATATATTCCTTTCAAAGAGCTCTTTCCCTTTTCTGTTCTAATGCAGTGTCCATTATCCATCCATTCTTTCTCCACTCCTTCTCTAACCATGTCTGTCCTATTTTTTAAACTGGTGTTATGTAGTATTTATCTTTTATGACTGAGATATTTCATTTAGCATAATGTCCTCAAGGCACTCTCCCATGTGTGTGATATTTTATTATTTCATTGTTTTTAGAGATTTCTTCATGACTATTAACAAAATGAAAATTAAATTTCACTTAATGACACTACCACTGTAGGTATCCCATCATTCTGCTCTGCTGTGAATATCTTCTTAAGGCGCACTGTTCAAAGTCAGACTGCTTGGCTAAATGCTAAGTACACTTTTATTTAAATAATAAAACCACCTCTGCATGTTAAAAAAATACATAATAAAATGCAAAGTGGAAAAAAAAGTGTGTACAAAATTAGAGTTTATGTTTATACTCAATTATGTTTTAAAAAGAAGAGGAAAAAAAATCAGCAACCCTAGAAAATATTCCTTTATGCCGTGTGTGGCTATTTTGAAGCAGAAGGATGTAGGTTTATTTTTGTCCCTACTTTACTATGTGCTGGCTGTTTTTAGTTGTCCAAAAGTTAATTCTAACTCATGGTGACCACATGTGTGCCAGGTGAAACTACCAATAGCATTTTCAAGATAGTAACTTTTCAAATTCTAGATGCCAGTGGGGGAGTTCAAACTGCCAACCTGTCCACTAGGGGTCAAACACTTAGCCATCTGTGCTACTCTGAGGTGCTTTATTGTGTGCTATATTTGAAAAACAAAAAGAACACTATTTATTATAATGTACAGAGAGAAGAAACCAACCACAACGACAACAAAGTAGAAAAAGACAAGAACAGTGCTTTCTAAAAGCAGGACAAAGCTGTTATAATACCATAAATCTTGCCCTTTTCTTTAAAGTAACCTCTGAAACAGAGAGAGAGCAGTAAATTAAGAAATCACTTATAGTGAACTGTTGAGAATTTACTTTGTCTCAACAGAATTTACCAATTTCTAAGCAGCTGAGGAACTGAGGTTATTATACAACTGAGGGAACGTTATCAAGTGAACCTTCATGCTGATAAGTAAAGTACTACTCGTGCTGCACTAGACATATTAACTGTCATGGTCTCAAAACAGAACTGCTGGTTGAGAATGTCTTCCCTGGCGGAACCACCACACCCCCTAAGGTAGACCTATGCTCAGTCCCTCCTGGTACCAGGCTATGCAGCAGCCACAACCTGAGATTCCTTTACCCATGCTGGTACTGAAAAACTGTTGTCACCTGGCAGAAAGCCTTGTGCCATTTGAAGTTGAACCCGAGGATGTGACAAATACACCGCTGATTGATCCCTGAGCCATTTCTGAAAAGAGAAAAGAAAACACACTTCACAAGATGTAAAAAAAGTCCACAATATGCAGTCAAATGACATCTTAAGTTTCCTAAGGAAATCGAAGCTTTATACACAGTAAAACAACATGGCAATGAGAAAACTTGGGGAAGATTCTGATTGAGGGATGATTCAGAGGCTTCTTTTAGGCAAAGTGTACTGAACGTGTATTATGCAAAGGTGAGTAAGTCCTAGTCCTGTCATCTTGGAGCTTATGGTAGAACCAAGCCAGCCATTCTGGGCATGGGTGAAATATGACCTCTTTACTACACTGTATATTCATTTTTATCAATAGGTTCATTTCATCAATTTTTTAAAAAAATAAACACAGCAGTACTACTAGTACTACTACATGTACTTAAAAAGAAATCATAAAGGGGGAAGATCCAGTGTGAAAAACAATGCATACAGACTTTGTAACTAAATCAGTATAAAATGAAAAATGTATTTAACACATTGACGCAAATGACAGCAAATGTGTTTCTAAGCACAGTTGTCAATTTAAAAAGTGTGCAGCAACATGTTAAAAAAAAGTAACCAAAGGACAAGGTAAAGGTAATAAACACGCTTTTTTTCCCTGCTTCCAAGAATCACTTCATAGATACCTTTTAGGTATCTGCACTCTATTTTGGGGTCCACTAGTGAGGGAGTTTTAATGAGCTGGACAATGAAGGAACTGGTTTTCATGAGGCAACAGTGAGATTCAGACTAGATATTCATTTGTTCATTTGATATTCATTTATTCATTTGGAGGCTTAGAAGACTCCAATTACAAGGAAGAGCTTTCTAGTCTCATCTAGTGCAATGATTCCCAAGGAAGAATTAAAATATGACAAATTTAAACAAGAAAAATGTGAAAAAAACAGGCAGCACATTTCACATTTTCTCATTTGGCCATGAAAGTGTTCTAATTTTCGTCTATAGTCAACACATTGTAAATTACCACAGTGAAAACCCATGATCCAAATCAAATCACCTTAAAGGAAAAAAAGAAAGCAATGGTTTCCACTTGTGTAGCCATTCCTGTTCCAAAGCCAAGACATCACTAACAGGAGAGTATTTCATAACTCTTCAACCCTTTCCCTTGGTTACTATAACCATGACCAATTCACTTGCTGCTGGTGGTGATGGAGTGTATCATGTCTGTTAATATTCCTTAAAAACCATCAAATTTTAGAAGTTTAGGTCAAAACTTAGGAGATAAAAATCTTTCTTAGTATCTACATCATACAAACCATATAAGGAAACTGACAAAATGTGGCTTTGACCTTGCAAATCACAGTAAGCCCCAGAGGGCAATGCCATCTTCCAGGACCACTGCTTCATGCCACTGAAGGACCGCGTCCACTCACACAGAGCCCACTACCACCACCTGCTCTTTCATTACCCCCCACATCCCTTCTGCACTTTCCTTTACTTTGCACCTTACTGCTCTGGTACCAAAGTGCTTGAATCAAACCCACAATCACTCTAGGGGGAGTAGAAGAGTAAGAGTGGCTCAAGACTCACAGTCATAGCCAGCCGAGCGGCTTTACTGACCTGTCACATAAGGTTCCAGAGCTTTAGGTACCAAACTTCTCGCAATTTTAAGGTCTTCGGCTGAACAGTTTCCCGATTCTAGTCCACAAGCCATTCCCATTCGCTTTAATACTTCTATGTCATCATGGATTTCAAACGTGTTGTCAAAATTAAACAGATATTCAAACCTGGAAAAGGAAAATCTCACTGTCAGAGCAGACAGTGTCCCAGGCCTCCCAGACTGAAAGCCAGTGCACACACTTGACTTAGAGCCAGAAGCACATCTACACAAGTACCTTAAACGTACCCAGCCCTCGCCGTGGGGCTGCACACTGACTCACACACCTTTAACATTCCCCACCCTCTAAATTCCCTTTCACTTGGTGTCTTCTTTACAAAATTTCCAAGCTAGAGTGAATGGATAACAACAAAAATAAAATTTGAAAAAATTAAATATTCAAGCAGCTTTCTAAGTCAGGGTCTACAAACTTAGAGGGGCGCAAAATATACTAGGAAACTAGGTGTTCCTGATACATGAGATATTCCAATCAAAGCTCTAGGCTGCCTGTCACCCTCTACAATAGGACAACAGTACGAAAGTTGTCCTAAAAGTTAAAAACATAAAAATGACAGGGCTTACTTGTCCAATAACCTAATGGAAGTCCCAAGACTAGGACCTTTAGGGATCCTTCCAACGTGAACAAAACTCAACTCCCTGGCACCACTCGCAGCCAAACAGACAGACCTATAAGCTGGACAATAACACCAAGGAGGCATTCACTCATTATAGTAACCAAGCACATACGGTCAAAAGAGCAGTATTCACACAAAGATAAAATACAGAAGGCAGAACGTGAGGAAAGAAAAGAATTAATGGAAAGGAGAATCCCAGGGAGGAACTGAGAATTTCGTTCCACTGTGTATACTGTAATAAAAATTAGAAAACTATGTGTATGAGCAGTTGAGTGGAAAGTGAATTTGCTTTAAGTTTTTACTCCAATCTCAATTTTTTTTAAAAAAAGGTTGTCTGAACAACAATCCTCAAAAGTCTTATTTTCCTTTAAAGAGAAAGATAATTATGGAGATGAATAAATTTGAAAGTTAATTGTAAAACCAGGAGTTCATCATAATCAAATTAAGCAGAAGTGCTATAAACACAACTGACTACAGCACCTTTTCACTTCTGACTGAATTCACAGCTGAAACACTAGGGCAGGTGGGAACCACTTTTCTCCTGTCAACCACCTACTTGTCATTAGAAATGCTGCAGTCGATCACGGTCTTCTTGCTGGTGTTCACGATGATGAACGGGAGGTGGATGACGGAGTTGGAGGGGGGTGGCCGGCTGGCTTGCTGCTCTGCCTCCCGGTTTCTCTGTACCAAATTCTTGAAGGCAATTTGCTAAAATAAGACAAACCAATTTATATAGTAATCATATTAGTTACCAGGAGGAATAATATAATACATTTTTATGCAGCAATAGATCTTATCTTCAAAGAGTTCTTTATAAACCTTTCCACATGTCCACAAAACAGAGAAAGGCTCATGAGCTCTTGTTTAGAAACCAAAGGTGCTCTAGTGGCATAACAAGTTACCTGCTGCACTGCTAATATAAAGGTCAGCAGTTCGAATAAACTAGCTGCTGAAGAAAAAAGATGAGCCATCCCCTCCCATGAAGATTTGCAGCCTCAGAAACCTGCTGGAGCCTTGCTAACTCAGAACCAACTCTATTCCAAGATCCTAGTGACCATTTCATAAACTTTAGATAGTCGGTTAATTCATGTGACTGCTTTAGTATCAGAAAGACCTACTAGCTTGAAGAAAATCCATTCTTTAAAATCTAATTTTTATTTTCTATACCACATATCCAGGCAATTAACTAAGTGCCTACCTTAAAAATTTCTTACTGTAAAACAACTATGAGATACCATCTCACCCCAGTCAGAATAGCAAAATTTAACAGAACAGCAAGCAACAAATGCTGGCGAGGTTGTGGAGAAACTGGAACCTTTATTCACTGTTGGTGGGAGTGTAAAATGGTGCAACCACTGTGGAAGGCGGTATGGTGCTTTCTCAAAAAGTTGCAAATAGAGATACCATTTGACCCAGCAATTCCACTACTGGGAATATATCCCAAAGAGATCATAACTGACATCCAAGCAGATATATGCACACCCATGTTTATCACAGCTCTGTTCACAATAGCAAGGAGTTGGAAACAACCCAGGTGCCCATCAACAAACGAATGGATAGAGAAGCTGTGGTATATTCACACAATGGAATACTATGCTGCATTGAAAAACAAGGAACTCATGCAATATTATTCAAAATAGGTGAGCCTGGAGGACATTATGCTGAGTGAGATATCTCAATCGTAAAAGGAAAAATATTGCATGGTGCCACTGCTGTAAAATGGGACTGACATCAGGGTGGGGGTAAGACTGAGAAAAACTGGATAAATTGTGTATACTGCACTGAAACATATGAGGGAGTTAATAATTTAAAAGCGATGTATGATAGGGTATTATGGTTATCACGAAGAGTCCACAATTAAGTTTGCATCGTGGAATGTACTTGGGGCGGTGGGAGGGGTGCAGGGAGATTGTGGACCAGGGAGGGAGTCTTTCTTTTGCTTTTGAAAGAGAGGAGCAAACTGGGGGGCAGGGGGAGAGGGCTGGACGGGTAGAGGAGTGCAGCAATGAATGAATGGAAATCCAAATTCTCTGTAAATGTTCATTAAAATTATTAAAAAAAATTTAAAAAAACAAACAAACTTCTTACTGTGGGCCTAGAACTGCAGTCCCGTCGCCACCAGCCCACCCCTGAAACTCTGATCCTGACGCTGATGCCCCGCCCCCGAAATCCAGTCCCAACACTGACGCCCCGCCCCCGGAACTCCGGTGCCAATGCTGCTGTCCGGTGCTGGGGAACCCGGTCTGAGAGCTGCCAGCCAGCGCTGGGAAATCCAGTCATGTCACTGACATGATGAACTGTGGTCCTAATGTTGACGCCATGTGCCCGGAACTCCGGTCATGGTGTTGACCCCCTACAACGGAACTCCAATTCCGATGCCAGCGCCCCATCCCCAGAACTCTGGTCCCAATGCTGATGCTCCTCACTGGGAACCTGGCTCTGAAGCTGCTGGTCAGCAACCAGAAATCCGGTCATGTTGTTGACGCCGGTGCCTAGAACCCTGGTCCTGATGCCCAGGCCCACACCTCGAACTTCGGTCCCGACACGGAAGCCCTGCGAATGGAATTCCACTCCTGATGCTTAACGCCCCATCCACGGAGGGAACCTCGGTCTGACCCAGATGCCCTGTGCCTGGGACTCTGGTCCTGATGTTTATGCCTAGGTTGGTAACACATACTGGGAGTGATGCTGGAAATTGAGTGAGGTATGTTGTGGGGGGCCACTACTGTTTGGCTGGATCGTGTGGGACCCCTTAAGCTTAATCAGAAGGGAGCAAGACAGCTGCAGCTCATGCTTGAAGGGAAAACCAAGGCTTCCTGGTTTTCCAATCAGGTCTCTGCGCTTGGCCTTGCATCTTCTCACATCTAGCCCAGAGCACCTTGGGCTACCCTAGCTGAGGCAGTTGTCTGACAGAGGAGGCTGCTTCCATAGGCCTTTTCTCTACCGAACTGAAGCATACCTTCCCTTGGGTCAGAAGGCAGAGTAGCTGCCTCAACTGCTTGTGGAGCAGTGACTTCAGATCAAGAACCTGCTATGACCTCAGACATGAAAACTCTAGCACAGCAATGTCACATAGGAAGCAGGCTTCCTCACCCCCTAAACAAGCAAAGCAAGAAGTCACCCCCAAAAAGTGACACAGTATCAATGGATTTCCTGAAGCCAGAAAGTCTGATGGAACTTTCTGACACAGAATTTAAAAGAACAATGATTGAATATGTACAATAGGTGAAAGACAAACTTGAAGAATTACAGGACACTGGAATTAAAAAACCAAAAGGTGCTTAAAAAAATTCAAAAAATATGCAGATAAAACAAATGAGACATTAGGGGCTCTAGAAAAGCAAGAAACTACAATCCAAAATATGAGGACCAATGCTTCAGATGCTCTCAACATGACAGAGGGTCACATGAACAGGGTTGAAGAGGTGTAACAAAGAACCAGTGAGATAGAAGACAGAACTGTCACCACTGATCTACAAAAAGAACAAAAATCAGAATCAAAGAAAATCTAAGAATAAAGCTGGACAACATCAAGAGAAATAACATGCACATCATCAGAATCCCAGAACAAGGAGAAGCAGCTAAAGACACCAAAAAAGTTGTGGACGAACTATTAGGAAAAAAACAAAAAAAAAGCCACAAACCACATTGCAGGCATAAAAAAGAAGGAGAGAATATATATTCAAGAAGCTAGGAGAACATAATATAGAGCAGACCCCAAAAGAAAAACACCAAGACATACCATACTCAAATTTGCCAGAAACAAAAATAAGGAGAGAATCCTGAAGGCAGCGAGAGAGAAACAAAGAGTAACCTATAAGGGAGAGCAGATAAGATGAAGTGCCAGTTTCTCAGCAGAAATCATGTGTCCAAGAAGACAATGGAATAATATATATCAAACACTCCAAGAATACAACTGACAACCAGGAAAACTGTCCATCAAATATGAAGGAGTGATCAAGGTATCCCAGAAAAACAGAACCTAAGTGAGTTTGTAAAAACAAGACCAGCATTGCAGGAAACACTGAGAGACGTCCTTACAGAGGCACCACAGAAAGCAGGATGGACCAAAGTAATGAGCAACAACACCAAAAAGAACTCAACAAAGTGATGGCAACAAAACCTTGCCTCTCAGGAATGCACTACAGAAGAGAAAAAGAGTAGCAGGTTAAATAAAAAACCCAAAATCCATCAATATGCTATATACAAGAGACATACCTGAAAACAATGAAGATAAAAAGACTAAAAGGTTGGAGGAAAAATATACCAAGCAAATGGCAACCAGAGAAAAGCAGAAGTAGCTATATTAATCTCCGATAAAATAGATTTCAATGTAAAAACCATCATAAAAGATAAGGAAGGTCATTACATACTGATTAAGTGGTCAATAGAACAGGAAGACATAACAATAATAAATATCTATGCACCAAATGAAAGACCTACAAAATACATAAAACAAACATGAACAAAACTGAAAAGTAGTCAACATCACTACAGTAGTTGGAGATTTCAATACACCACTCTCAAGAAAAGATAAAACTTCGAGTAAGAATCTCAACAAGACGCTGAAGAATTAAATCACACAATAAACCAACTCAATATCATAAATATGTATAGGCTAATGCACCCCAAACAAGCAGAATACACCTTCTTTTCCAATGTGCATGGAACATTCTCCAGAATAGATCACATTTTAGGGCACAAGGCAAGTATCAATAAATTCAAAAGCATAGAAATAATACAAAGCATCTTCTCAGACCACAATGCTACAAAATTAAAAATTAGTAAGAGGATAAAGAGGAAAAAGCCAGCCCTTTCTATAAAGATGGTGCTGAAAGCGAAGGAAGCCTCTCCCTCTCCCAAAACTGAAGCCAAAGCAAAGGCATTAAAGGCCAAGAAGGCAGTCTTGAAGGGCATCCATGGCCACGAAAAAAGATCCGCACATCACCCGCTTCGGGTAGCCTAAGATGCTGAGACTCAGCGAGCTCTGGTGGCCTAGTGGCAAGAAGCTGCACTGCAATCTGAGAGGTGAGCAGTTCAAATCCACCAGATGCTTTGCTGGAGAAGGAGGAACAATCTCCTCCTGTACCAGTCAAATCTGATTTGACGGTACACACGCACACAAATTAAAAAAGAGAAAAAAAAGATACTGAGACTCCAAAGGCAGTCCAAATGCCCCTGGAAGAGCGCCCCCAGGAGAAACAAGCTTGACCACTATGCCATCATCAAGTTTCCCCTGACAATTGAGTCAGCCATGAATAGAAGATAACAACACACTTGTGTTCATTGTGGATGTCAAGGCCAACAAGCACCAAATTAAACTAGCTGTAAGGAAGCTCTATGATATTGATGTGGACAAAGTCAATACTTTGATTACACCTGATGGAGAGAAGAAGGCCTATGTCTGACTTGCTCCGGACTATGTGCTTCGGATGTTGCCAATAAAATTGTGATTATCTAAATTGAGTCAAGCTGGCTAATCATAATACAGATTTCTCTCTCTCTCTCTCTCTCTCTCTCTCACACACACACACACACACAAAATAAAAAAAACAACAACCAACCACCTCATACATTTGGAAGCTGAACAACACCTTGCTTGAACATAACTGGATACTAGAAGAAATAAAAATGAAATTAAACAGTTTCTTGAAACAAATGACAATGAAAACACAACTTACCAAAATCTCTGGGAAACAGCCAAAGCA